ACCAGAGTGCTCCTTGGAGGCCAGGATGGCTAAGCTTCGTCTCTCCTACTTTGGACATATTGTCCGGAGGAAACAATCGTTGGAGAAGGATGTCATGCTTGGTAAGGTGGAGGGTCAGAGAAAAAGAGGAAGACCCCCAACGAGATGGATCAGCCAGGTAGCATCATTGATGGACTCAAGCGTGGCAGCGGTAGTGAGGTTGGCCCAGGATCGGACATTGTTTTGTTCTGCTGTGCATGGGATCCTATGAGTCAGTTCTGACTCGATGGCACCTGACAACAACAACAACAGGAGGAAGCAGGATAATGGGTGTTGCATGGAAGGGATTGGAATCATTGAGATGAAACAAAGTGTAGGATTTGTTGAATGTAAAGCTGATGATCTTGTCTGTAAACCTTCACTCAATTCACAATAAAAAGTTAAAAAAGGAAGAAAAGAAAGCCAACACCAGACCCCTCCACAATCATTAATTCCTTTAGGGCCTGAAAGAGAAAACTCTATAGCCTCTTTCAACTCTTAAGTCTCCCACCAGTCACCTACCCTAAGTCCTTCACAAGGTCCATTTTAGGGCTTCTCAACAGTAGCTGCCACCTAAGTTTCTAATTCAATTTGTTGGAGGCTGAGCCAAGGTAAGGGCCTTTCTTAAAACTTCTCTAGAGAAATCTCATGTGAAGTCAGAGTTAAGACCCACTGGTGTAGCCTAGAGTCATCCGGATGCACCTTCAGTAAACTTCCTTATCCCTCTCACTCTTTATCCAAAATTTTCTTTCCCTTCTTAGTAATCTCCAGAGAGTTTCATCTTAGAAAATTTGAAGGTGACAACAATCATGTATAAAGCATTGTACAGTTTGTACAGCACAAAGATGGAATTTGTGATCCTGCCCCCAGCTTCCAAAGCCTAACATAAAGCAAGCAAAGAGAGGAACCCATCCTTTCAACCAAGGCCAAGACTGTCCCCTCAGGCTGGAGCAACTACAAATGGGGCCTGGCATGAAGGTGGAGGGGAGAGTCATGGGTGGTGACCCAGGAGCACTGCTTCCTGAGGGACTCAAAGGGTAATACGTAGATGACTCTTTAAGGAAACTTTGTGAAGGAAAAGTTAGGAGGGAAAGTATGGAGTTCTACCTCTGAAAACAACCATACTGCCCTCTTCTGTTTGAACAGTTTTAAGTCCCACATGTCACTATGGTTGTTAAGTACTGTCAAGTTGGCTCCTACTCCTAGTGATCCTGTATAGGGTTTCTGAAGAGCAGCTGGTGGGTCTGAACTGCCACCCTTGCGGTTAGCAGTCTAGTTCTTATCCTATAGCAACACACCCAGTCCCACATAATGCTCTAATAACCTCCTGTGGACTTTGCCAGTCAAGATCTAGGTGAAGGGTACCTGATGGAATCTTCCTCAATGTCCATGCCTTCTATCCCACATAGAGAGAGGAGAATGCCTGCAATGACATCCCCACACCAAATCCTATAGGACACCTTGGCAGGCTTCCATCGAGCCATCACGGCTCTGCCTTCTGTTCTCAGGTCCCTCCACTGCTGTTCTGTCATCATCTCCCCACCCCCAGCTGCTGCATGCGACTGTTAACAGGTGGTGGCAGGAAGGAAGTGGCAGCAGCTCAGACTGAAGTCCCTGTTTATCCCTGACTGTGTAGAGCCTGCTCAGGTCCTCCAGAACCAGGATCCATGGCAACCAGGATGATGTCAGACCCACTGTCTCCATGGAAACTAGCCATGGTATTTGGGTCAACAAGACAAACACTTCTGAGACCCAAAAAGGCGACAGTCTGGAACCCCTGTTCACAGGGTCCCAAACCCTGACACCTCTGTCTTTGTTGGAATTACCCATGATTCCAAAAGTATCCCTCTTTTCCCAAACCAGCATCTTACTGCCTTATTAGGAAGATCCTTCTGCTGTCTAATCTCCGCCCTTCCCTGCTGTTTTCAGATCTTTTTCTTCTCATCAACCTCTAAGAAGAAAACCCACCTCTACCCGCTCCCCACCTTCTCTCCCTTTTCATTCATCATCTATCCCCAGGAAGGATTCAACAAGAACATTCTGTAAAGTGTTAAGAAACACTGGTGTCTGTGGCGTAGTGTTTAAATTCTTGGCTGCTAGCCAAGAGATGGGTGGTTCAAATCCTCCAGCCACTAAGTGAGAAAAAGATGTGACAGTCTGCTTCCCTAAAGATTTTTACAGTCTTGGAAATTCTGTGGGGCACTTCTACTCTGTCCTACAGAGTGGCTGTGAGTCACAATCAACTCGAATCAAGTGTTGGTTTTTTAATTTAAAAGTATTATCAGACTTCTGCTATTTCTAAAAGACAGCTAAAGGGGGAGCTCTCCCACTCTGTACAAAGATGAGAAGTCTCACCTCTAGTTAATTTCAGTCCTTCTAACAGTTGTTCCCCTAAACTCCATAAAGCAAAAGACCTAGGGGCATAAGAATTTGTCGGGGACGGGGGTGGGGGTGGGCAGAACCAAGTTCCTGTTTTGGAAATGTCCGCATATGACCCTCCTACCCCTAGCCCAGAAACGGCAAACAGATCTGTGATCCCGGGTAAAGTTCATTCCCTCAAGAGTCCTGTCCTCCCCTTTCCTTTATCCTCCCTCTCCCAAGGTATCTGTGGTCCCCTTGCCGACTAGGACATTACCTGACCGAGCTTCAGTCTTCCACTGAACTTGTGGCTGTCTCCCCAGGTTTCCAGCCCCAGAAAGGGTAGTCATGTGATCCACGGTTGACCAATAGCAAGCCAGTTTCCCCCAAGGGGCGGAAACTTTTGACCAATAAGCGCTGGAGTTGAGAGACACAGGCGGGGAGGGGGGAGTTGCACAACCCATAACCTGTGCTTACCTACTGTTGGGCCCCTGGGGTCTCCACACATTGAATTTTGAGCCACCTCCTCGCCTTTCCCAGTGCCTAGAGTTTCTAGAGGGATGCCCCGAAATAGGAAGAAAGGCAAAAGGTGTTGTCTTCCGAGACAACTAGCACACAGGGCCAAGTTGGCCCCAGAATAGGCAGAGACAGCTGCAAGCCGGGGGAGGGGAGAGGGGCGGGTGGCAAATTGTGAACTTGGAAATAGTTCTGTTGCCACTCTCCGCTAGATCCAATGCAAACTGTTTAAGGATGCCACTTCATTTTGAAAATGAAGGCGTCCTAAAAACAAAACAAAAAAAGCCTCCAAAAATGAACTGTTAGCCCAACACACAGCCTCGGAGCTACATTTGACACTAACTAGTAGAGTCCTGGTGTGGCGCTGTGGGTTAATGCGCCAGACTTCAAAGCCATTTGAACTGCAAGGTCGGTAGTTCAAGCTCACCAGCTGCTCCTTGGAAACCCTATACAGGGTCGCTATGGGTCGGAACCGACAACTGTAAGAGCTCTGGTAGCGTAGTGGTTACAAGTCGGGCTGCCAACCTCAAGGTTGGCAGTTCGAAACTACCAGCGGTTCCATGGGAGACAGATGAGGCGTTCTGCTCCTGTAAAGATTTACAGCCTTGGAAACCCTGTGCAGGGTCACTATGAGTCCGAACCAACTCCACGTTACTTAACAACAGTGGGTAAGAGGGGCAGCAAACCCAGAACTTCCAAACTCATGAGGTCTTGGAGCCAAAGCAACTTCTTGGCTCAGGGCCTGGCCCAGGAATGTGCTCAGAAAAGAAACTCAGTCAGTTTCTCCAGCAGGGACAGAGGGAGGGTGGGGACACAGGCATCCCTTGGCTCAGCAGCTTATACCAAGGTCAGTTCAGGGGGGTCTGAATCCTTCAGACTTTCCCACTTCCAAATTACTTTTCTCGGTGGTAACCTTGGCTCATTCTCATCTTTTTGTACATAAACACCAAGAATCCATGTCTGGGTTTTCAAGTCATTTTATTAATCCAACCGTACAAAACACTCTCCCACATCTCTGTCACCCTACTTTCTTCCAAGTAGTTGTGGAGGAGAGTGAACAAAGACTCCCCCCCACCCAAGACCTCGCCCCCATTTTACAAAAAAGGAGGGAGACGGCACAAAAATAGCAACAGATAAAAGGGGCAAACAGAAACAAACACAAGAGTTGAGTGGTGGGGAGCTGCCATCTATGTTATTTTGTATGGGGAAGATTGGAAGAGAAATCCCTAGGCCTGCTCCCCCAGCCTCAAAGGTTGCTGGCTCCTCAGAGCTGGGTTCTGCAGCAAATGTCTCCCTTCCTCTTGCTAGGGACATGAGAAGTGGGGAGGGGCAACTGCCACTTCACCTTGTGCTTAAGGACCATGAAGGCCACACTCCTGTCTCCTGCCCTTCCCCACCCCAGTGAGGAATGCATTCTAGGGCTGTAAGGAAGAACAGCCGGGGGGTGGTGTCTGGATCAGATAGTGCTTTAAAAATAAAAACAAATAAAGCCCAGTGCAGGACTTTGGCTGAAAGGAATAAGAACTTCTAGATGATTAGGCCCAAGAGGAGCAGACACCATCCAGGCTCTGCTACTTTTCAGTACCATGGCAATGGGGCTGTGACAGGGCCTCACTTGCATCCTATTATCAGGTGAGGAAATGAGGTATAAGGGCTCTGCCCCTTTTCAAGCTTTCCTTCAGTCAAGTCAGTGAGGCCAGGGCATTAAGGACGCCAAAAGCTGAAGAAAGGCGCTGAAGATAATGTGCAACAGATGGCCAAGATTGGGGGAGGGTAGTAGGACCACAGACTCCAGACTTCCGGGACAGTCCAAACTTCAAATATCCTGGTCTGTCAGACCACATATCCCACTTTTTGGCAAAAACATGGTCATTCGGAGAAAAGCACAAGAGAGGTGGAGAAAGGACCAGTGACTTTGGTATGAGGGAGATAATGTCCTGACAGCATCTCTTACCTACTATCTTGAAGCCCCAAATCACCAAGAAACCGCTGTAGCCAAGAACTCTCCAGCTTCTTCAAGCTATCTGGTTCTCTGAGAGGAGTCAGGTAGTCTCCAAGGAGGCAAAGGGGAAGGTGGAAGAGGGGAAAATCCCCATGGATGCCCTCCTAAAGCCATCTCACAGACCCCATGGAAAGACTACTACAAAGATGGGATGACCCCAACTCCTCTGGCCAGAAACCTTGATGACAAAAAACGTCAGCTGGAACTGTGGGGCTGAAACAGGCACAAGGCTTGGCAGGCAGAGGGGACACCCCGGCCCTCCAGGTTTTCCTTCAGCCTCTTTTCTATTGCAGCCACAGCACTCGGCTTCCATGACAGCCACATACAAAATGGCTCTGGCTCTGCGCAGCAAGGCTTTGGTTTCCTGGACCTCTGTAGATCTCAGCGGGCAAGTGTCCAGAAAAGTGAGCGATCCTGGCCCTCTTCCACTTGCCCACCTCAGTTCCTTTTCTGCCCCCAGGAACCACTGTTTCTGCCCCCAGGGGAATGAGAAGCCATTGGAAACAAGGACCAAGAGCCACACACAGAAACAATCACCCAGAAGAGCAGGCAGGGGACTTGTGCGCTTCCCTGGGCAACCTTGTCAGCATCACCCGTCGTTAGCAGCCACCAGCTGCCCCATGCCCTCACGGATGTAGACGGATTGAATCTCCTTGGTCTTGAGGCAGAGATCGCAGGCCCAGACAGCAGAGGCCTCTGTGGTCAGCAGCCCGTAGGCACTCTCAGTCATGCCTGTGCACTCACGGTGGAACCACTTCTGGCAGGAGGCCTCACACAGAATGGCATCCTGGTCGTCATTCACCTCACTTCGGCAGGCACCACATGGATACACCAAGCCTGGGGGAGGCTGGGGTCCCGAGCCCCCACCTGCCTTGCCAGGAGGTGCCAGGCTGTTTGCATCTGGAGTGCCCCCACCCCGGCCGCTGCTATTTGGGGGGAAACTAGGTTGATTCCCATTAACAGCAGCAGCTGGGGAGCCGGAATGGGGCTCCTGAGGAAAAGCAGTGGGAGCAGGTGGGTTCAACGGTTTCCCCCCATCCTCACCACCAGGGCCAGGAAAGCCAGGGTCTGGACCCGGAAAGGGACTTGTGTTAGGGGGCAGGCTGGGAAGCCCCTGACCAGGTCTTTGAAGAGGAGAGGGACCAAAAGGTGCTCCTGGTTGGGCAAAACGTTGGGGAAGAGGAGGACCCAGCTCCCCTCTGGGAGGTTGTCCCATTGTGGGTGAGATCATGGGCCCAAATCCTCCCACTGGGCCTGTCATCATCTGCCCACTTGGAGGGCTAAAGTTTTGACCCAGCGGTTGGTTAAAGGGCTGGCTGGAAAAGTTCATGTTGCCTGGAGGTGGGTAGCCAGGTCCCTGGGGGGGCATATTGAAAGCAGGGCCCATAGGGTTGGGAGGGAAAGGAGGAGGCTGTCGACGAAGAGGCTGGGGACCCCCTCCACCTCCAGTGCCGTATCCTGGGGGCACCTGGCCAGCCATACCCCCCTGTACACGAAAGCCTCCAAAGGGCACAGGACTGCCAAGGAAAGGAGGGGCTGCAGCCCCCACTTTAGGGGCTCCAAAGTCATCTTCAAAAGGGTTGGATGCAACCAGATGATCTACCATAGGAGTCGGGGGTGGTGCAAACTCTGTCAGATGTGAGTATGCAGGGCCCTAGAGGGGAACAGAATAGGGTCATTGAGGGAGACAGAGATGCAGAGCTAAACCAGGAGAGCACTAGAAACACAATCCATGTTCTGAAGACTGGTTCTGGCCAGCTCAGATCTTAAACCAAGATAGACCTGAGAATGCAACAGCCAGACAGAGCGTGGAGAGAAAAACCAGCATAGTGCAGGAATTGTGTTTTGAATCCCAGCTCTGACCTTGAATACCTTCAAGACCCTGGAGCAAGTACTTAATTTTTAAGACTCAAATTTCTCACTGATAAAAAAGGGTAATGCCCATCTCCCAAATCTGTTAAAAAAACAATTCAGTACAACCCATTAGAGAAAGTTCAGTAAGTAGCAACTGTTGTTATCATAAGGAAACCACGACAGGAAAAAAGGAGGGAACACGGGATCTGTAATCCCACCTGATGGGATCTTTGACCAAACATCTCTTGGAGGGAAACTAATTCTGTGTTAGTTTGCTATGAGGTTAAGGACATACACCAGAAACAGAGCAAGAGAGTTTCCCTTCTCTGGAGATCTGACCCAATATCCACAGATACAGGAGTAACCAAGTAGAGAGGGTCTGAGGGGCTGCTAGGAATCACCCCCACCACCAACCACCACCCACTCACCTGAGTATTTGACTTCCTTCGCTTCTTTTCTGGGCTCTTCATTTGCAGACCTGGAAGAGCAGCAAATGGCAGGCGTAGACAAGTTTTCCTGAGGTTTCTCCAACCTTTCTTCCAGCCATCCCCTGATAATCCCTCTGCCTTTTAACTGTATACTTGGTCATCTATTTAACCAATACTGACCATAGGTGTGATTCAAAAAATGAATTGTGAGTATGATTGTACTCTCAGCTACCTCTTGCCTCAAGTGCAGGATTCGCCACCTCTAATACACGTCTTGATGTGCTCAGATTCCAAGAGACTCCAGAATCCCAGGCGCCTCCAAACCCCAGAGCCATCACTCTATGACACCCTCTCCCAAACCCTGGAGGCCTTCACCCACCCACTTTCTTCACCCAAGCCTTTCTTCAGGCCCCTCAGCCTAAGACTCCCTCATCCTCCTCAACCGCCCTGTCAACTCCCCCCTACAAGGTCCCCAAGCCATCGGCCTCTCCAGCCCTCGTCCCTCTCAGCACTCTCACCGGCCTTGCCCTGCTTCCTCCCGGTGCTGGGCGGCGCAGGGGGCGGTGCGGGGCCGCCACCTCCCTCCAGCTTGTCCGGTGGGGGCGGCGCCGAGGCGGCCATGGAGTGGGGGACCCGGGTTAGCGACGGCTGGGGATGAAGGAGCCCTCGGGCGGCATCATCACCCAGAAGAAAAGTCAGGGGCCATGCAGGCCCCCAAGCTCCAGCAACCCCAAGATGCGGTGAGGGAGAGGCACCGGGCCAAAGCACGAACTGCGCGCTCGCTCCAGACTCACCGCCCGCCCGTAGCAGCAGCCACAGGAACCGGAACTCAGCTAGGCTACCACCACTGAGCCCGGCGAGAAGGGGGAGCGAGGACTGGACCGGACTCTACACCTGAAAGCTCCGCGCGTAGGGAGAATCATACCCCCCGGGCCTAGTGCAGAAGGCCGTCTCACCCCGGGGGAACGGCCTATACCACTGCATCTCTGGGCGGTGACATCCAACCCTAGCCGCCGGACTGTACCATTTTGGGCAGGGGAGTCGCCGCAGAGAGGGTGCACGCGCGATGCGATCCGAGGCGCGCGCCTGAAAGGCCCTGGCATCTTGGGGGTCTGGCCACCCGTCGCCAACAGGGCAATAAGCTCGAACCCTGGCCGCCGAAGCCGGCAACGCCGACAAACACAGCCATCCTCATGGGGGCTGTTGGTCCCGCACGACCCCCCATGCCGCACCCACTCCTATGTCCCCAGAGTTCCTTCGGGCGCTGTCGACCAGGTGGGTCAGGCTGCGCCGCACCCTGAGCCTCCCACTCCCCTCCCGCCGCTGCGGGCCCACCACAAACAAAGGCCTGCAAGAGGGACTGAAGAGGCTGAAGTAGAAGAAATACGGACTTTAATGAGGATATTTCCCTTTGGTATAAGGTGAGACCCGTGAAAAACATCCACACAAAATATGGAGGCGAAGAGTTAAAACTCTTCCCTTATTCACAAGGCCGAAAGCAAGCAGGGCCGGCGTCTTTGAGGCTAAACTAGGTCTAGGGCAGGGTTGGGCATGGAGAGAAAGTTCGCAATAAATATAACTGCAGGTTTTCGTGTTCCTAACACTTAACTCAGCCAGACTTCTGAGCACACAGCCTTGGCCAGAAGAGGCCCAAGTTTATCAAATCCTAACTCTTAATCAACTTTTCTCTCTGCCTCAGGTCTCCCCTAAAAAACAGATGCTGCCGGTCCCTATTACCAAACTGTTGTTAAGTGCTGTCAAGTTCGGTGCCAACTCATAGCGACCCTATACAGGATTTTCCAAGGAATGGCTGGTGGGTTTGAACTGCCAACCTTGCAGTTAGCAGTCCAGTGCTACAGTGCCCCACCAGGCCAAACAGACTAAGATGAGGAAAATGCCAATAATTGTAAAAGGGGTTTTGAAAAGTCAAGATTTGATTATATAAACGTAATGGATTACAGTAATTTTGTGCTCCAGAATAAGTCATGTAAAACAAAATTAGGAAAAGTCAATCTACAGCCCTAAAACAGATGTGTATAAAATAAAAAAAAATCAAATCAAAGCAGTTCCACATCTAGAGATGGTATTTGGGGATTGTCTACTGCTTTCGAGTCTCGATGCCCCTATTCCCTCCACAAATCCTCCTGAGAGAGTTAAGTGAAAAGGAGGCCCAATTTCCAAGGCCAAAATAAGTACCCCACCCCCCCCTCCAACAGATGGAGGCAGGGCTACACTTTGGCTGTAGAGTATAACATGCATGCAACATGGGGGGGGGGCTTACAAAATGTATATACAGACCCCTTCTGAGAGGGACCCCGGCCAGGAGGCACTGAGCAAGGGAGGGGGCCATCTCCCCCCTGGCCGGGAGGGGGGCTCTGGGACAGTCTGTAAGGGTTGCATATCCCCTGAGAGAGGACAACTGCTTCTCCTGCCTGTCTTCTTCCAACCCAAACTGGATCGGATGTAGAACAAGAGGACAGGGTCTCAGAAGCCAAGGTGTCAGACCCCTGTCCCTCAACCTCAGGAGCCCGAAAAAACTCTTTGCATAAAATATCTTCAGACCTAGGAGATGGTCAAAGGCACAAAGTTGAAACACTGGGGTGGGGAGTAGATATTTAGAGGGACTTGGGGGAATACCCTGAGCCCAGGGGTAGACCAAAGATATTCATTCCCCCTTTCCTGGAAGGGTGATAGCTCCATTGGGCTTATCACCACAGGGCATTTTTCATTATAAGGAGGCACTGCCCAGGCCTCAATCACCCACCTTCTTGGGGAAGGGGGCATCAGGTTGGCACAGGCAAAGCCCAGGGAAGGGGACCATTCTGTACATTAATACTTTGGTGAGGTTTAGTGAGAAGCTGAATCTCCTGACTCAAACCCTCTCAGCTGGATGCTGAGTCTCAGTGTCCACACTCCGCCAGCTCCTACACAAGGCCAAGAGGTCTTGAGAGTCAGGGAATAGGGTGGAAGGGCTAGAGGGCATCTTTAAGAAGGCAGCACTGGGATGGATCACAGTTTCCGCTCCACAGGCTGCTGTAGACAAAGTTCGCTGCCCGCAGAGATGATGGGCAAGTGATTGTCCATGTGGTAGCTGATGAGATGACTGACACTGTCAAAGCGGTGATCCTTTGTCCGAACCTGGGAAGGGAGAGAGTCAATTTAGGTGAAGAGTCAAGACCTCAGCCCCCAAAGTTGAGGAAGTAGGAACAGTCAGTCATGAGAGTTGAGGAAGGAGAAAAAGCAAGCAGGGGGGTGGGAACTGTCCATCTTAATCACTGAGGCTTCTCTAGAAACCAGAGAGGACTGTGGGATTGAGCAGGGAGGTGAAGTGGGAAAGGGTACAGGGGACATCAGCTCAGGAGTCATGGCATTGAGGGCTAGCCACTCTTGCCTTGCCCTGAAGAAGCTGGCATGGGTTGGAAGAGGATGCACAGTGTAAACAAAGATGTGGAAAGGAGGCTGAAGTGGCTATAGTGAAGAAACCAAAGTTGGGAGTGGCAGGGAGCCAGTGCAGACAGGATTCTGAGCCTTGATTTGGGGGGAAGTCGGGAACCCTGGTTCCTCTTGCTAGAGGAGACTTTTGGGGTCTCTACCCTCTCACCATCTGACTTGGGCACCACCACCTCTTCAGGGGCTCAAATGAAATGAGCACTAAAGCCCTTTCCAGCTCTGATGGGCGTTTAACATGCAGTGATTTGAGGACTGGCTGGAGTCAGCTTAGGCTCAGGGACGTGAAAAAGGGAAGAAACCCTAAGCTGCTGGAGAGGGGACACCAGACTCTCTGAAGAACAAGAGAGGCTTCATATAGTGCTCAGCAAAGAGAGGGCCTAGGAAGCAGTGACTGAAGGAAAAGAACTGCATTAAAAGTTCTATACGCCACCCCCACATACATACACCCCTCTGCCATACTCACCACACCCTCAGGGTCCACCAGGAGCAAGTGTTTGGGCTGACCACTCTGCAAGCCGGTGAGCACATACTGGCCAGGCGTGGTTGTGCTCTCGCGTACTAGGAAGTCCCCATTGAGCTGCAGCAAGGCCTCAGCCTCCCGCCGGCTCAGCTTCCCATGGAACCAGGACTCCCCTCGGAGCTGCTCAGCCATGGACACCAACTGAGGAGGTGGAGGCATCCGGAGGGCATCTTCAAAGGGCTCTGAGGATGCAGAAAGAGCTAGGAGAGGCAGCTGGCACAAGGTACACCCAGAATCCAGACATTAGGGGACAGGAGGAGTCTAGGATGAACAGGAAAAGAGGGACCTAGAGGAAAGATGGGGATGCAGACTGGAGAAAGAGCACTCACTCATGTCAAAGATATCTCGGGGTGCACTGCCATTGATGGCAGGATTGGGGGACATGCCCCCACCCCCTGCTTGCCGGGCCTTGTCTAGGTTCTGGATGTTGACATAGGAGGGATCATCAAAGAGCTCTCTGCCTGCTGAGAAAAGGGAAGCTTTATAATGAGACTGCACCTCTGGATCTGCCCATCTCATCTCCCTTCATACCTGGGCAAGGCGGTGCAGGTGGCATCTGTTTGCGGACTTCTGTGTCTCCCCCTACAGGCTGCCAGGACAGAAAAATAAGGTGAAACCAGAAGTTTGAATCAGACACACCCATCCTGGGCCCAGCCCACCTCTATCCAAGCAACTTACCAGTGTAGCCCCCAGGTGGCTGGGGGTTTGAGCACAGGGTGGAGTAGATCGAGCAGCCCCTGGGATGGCTCCTTCCCGAAGCCTCATATCCACCACCCCTCCAAGAGGGGGTTCCTTCCCTGGGTAGTCATTATAGTACTGATGGTCTGGTGGTTCTTCCTCCTCCTCATCCCAAGCGGAGCCATCAAAGCCAGCCATCCTGAGCATAACAGGGCAGAGTGAGGAGTGCAGGTGTAAATGTGTGTGGAGTTGGAGGGGGGAAGAAGGAACTAAACAGTGGCACTTATTACAGGTTAGGCTTGAGGCTGCAGGTTTTACATTCATGATCATTTTATCCTCCTGACAACCCTGTAAGGTAGGTATTCGTTTCCTGCCCAGTTTATAGTAAGGAAAATGAGAGTCAAAAAGGTGAAAAGATTTCTCAAGGTCTTAGAATTAAAAGGTGGTAAAGCTGAGATTAAGGAGCTCTGGTAGCGTAGTGGTTACGAGTAGGGCTGCTAACCTCAGAGTCAGCAGTTGGAAACTACCAGCAGTTCTGTTGGAGAAAGATGAGGCTTTCTGCTCCCATAAAGATTTACAGCCTCGGGAACCCTATATGCGGTCGCTATGAGTTGGAACTGACTCTAAGGCACACCACACCACCACAAAGTTAAGGTTTTAAGTTCAAATTTAACTTTAAAGCTCACACCCTGCCACTGTCTCCCAAAGTGGGGAAAGGAATCACTAACTAGAATGGAGGAGGGAAGGAGAATCACAGAATCTTTTAACCTCCTGGAAATACTACATGCCTACTAGCCCCACTGTTTGTTCCCAGAGACCTGAGTTGAAGAAGGTAGGGATCTCAGAAGGATAGTCTCTAGGGACAGAAAAAGGCGGAACAAAAGAGAAAGAGAAATGGGCGAGGAAGAGGGATGGGCCAGCAGTGAAGAGACTGGAACTAGAAGAGTTCATCTAGCCCGGAACAGAGCTGCAAGCTGGAAATCTGGGAATACAGCTCCATAGAGGGCAAACAAGAGGCAGGGCCTCCAAAGCCTTTCCTAATGGGCCACAGGAAACGTAAGAATAGCAGGAAGTGGGAAGCAGAGACACACAGGGTATTTCCTTCCCTGAGCCTCTCTGAGCTCACATGTGGGGAGAACAGACCTACTTTCCCAACTAGGTTCCAGTCAGTGCCCAAGAGCTGCCCCACCCCTCCTCACCGGCTCACCTGTCGTGGGGAGTGACTAGCTTGGGTGGGTTCCTGAGGTACTGTTTGAAGCGCAACTCAAAGGCCTGGCCAATAGTGCTGATGACATCCTGGGCAAGTCCTTCAGGACACTCCAAGATGTGGCAGGCTGGGGGCACAGCAGAGGCTGTCAGTGAGCTCTCAGGTGGGGGTTGCTGGAGGACGCGTGTGGACAGGGGCTCTCATCTTCCCCAGCAGGAGTCCCTGATTATCTCTACTCCAAGCAGGAAAAGAAGACTCCAGTCCTGCTCACCTGCTTCAAGGACAGCCGGTCCCACCCAGGGCTCCCCACCGCGCCTCACCTCACCTCTCTGATTCACGGGGTCTTTGGCAACATAGGCAACATATTCAGCTGTGTCCTGGAGTGGACAGAGAAGAGTTCAGTTAGCTGTTGGGTTGGCTATCTTTTATAACCCAACTCACTCCTGACTCCCAAAATCCAGTCCTTTTCAGCTGTCCCCTCAGTGCTAACACCCCCACATCTCTAGCCAATGTCTTCCCAGTCCCCTTATACCACCTCTGCTCTTTTCTCAACTTACCGGATCCCCGCCAGATGCAAACGAGATGGATTGCATGTGGTGGTTGGCTATGATCTGAAGGTTAGGGCAGGGGATGGAGAAGGAAGGCAATGATGAGTGTCAGGCAGTCTCAGGATCCACCTGTGTGCTCCTAACTCTGACCCACCTTCATGGCTTCTTACCCTATGGCCTTATATTTCCTCATCACTGTCCTGCTGTCCTCTTTCCTAATTTTTTGCCCTCATAAGCAGATCCCACCCTTCTAAGCCCTGCCATCAGTGTTTCTGGTCCCCCTGACTCACCCCACCAACCTGTTTGCAGTCAGCTGCCATGAGATTGAGGCTGCTGGTAGAGACTGTGAGAGTGATTGGCATTCCAGCAAATTTCAGGTTACTCCTCCCCAGGATGGAGCTGAGTGGGCGGCTACAGGGCTAGGGAAGGGCCCAGGGGGTTCAGAAGCTGAGGGTTCCCAGCAACAGGAAACCACACTTCTGCCTTTTGACATGCCCACCAGCCTTCCTCCTGCCCCTCCACATCTCCTCCCATCAACATCCCTAGCCCCATCAACCCCAGGTACCTTTCTTCTCCTTGTTGCCCCCTTAGCACCTGGCACAGCCTCACACACCAGACTGATGGCCTCCCTGAGGAACAGAGGGGTACTCAGACCCAGAACCTGCATTCCACTCAGCTGGGACTACACTGGGATGGGGGAGGGGAAGGCTAGGCCAGACTCCGGGGGCACTCCAGGCTCTTTGTCGTGGTGGATTGAATTAAGGGCCTTTAATATTTGATGACACTGTGAGGCTGCTTCCTGACTGATTGGGTTAGGGCCTCAATGAGTATAGCCCCACCCCCTTCCAGCCACTAAATGTCCTCGTCCCTTCCCAAAGGCAGCAGCAACTTTTAATCTACCCCTTTTTTCCCACTCAAGCTCCACCTGCTGCCAGCTGCCTCTGCCACCTTCCCCACAACTCACAAGGATAGATAGGTAAGAAGGACAGGATCAGGACCACAGTTCCCTTTCTCATTCAGATTGAGACTTGCTGCCTTCACTTCAAACAAGCCACCTCTACCACCACAACTATGGGATCCTCTCCCATTCCCCCACTTCCCATGGCACCCACAATCCACCACCCTCCCCACTGACCTGGTCACTTGAGTCCGGGTGTTGAAGTCCAGAGCACGCATTGACTGCAGGACCTCCACACAGCCCATGTACTGAGGGGAAGGATGGGGGGGGGGGGGTGATAACTAGTCAGCCCCTCCCACCAACCTCTTCACAAAGGACCCTAAGACTCCTGTCTTCCATCTCAAAGGTAAAAAAAGTAAAGAAGTGCGAGTTCTGCCCACTGACCCTGGCTATAATCCACAATGTGCAAGACATCAGGGAATGAGAATAAAGAGCCACTAGGAGGACCTCAGGCATCTGGGAACAGAATTTGGAGGGGAGTGACTGGGCTTGGGGTAGGGTGGAGTGGAGGCAATCTAGTGACATCTCCAGAAAAGGGGAGGAGACTGGAGGGGGGAAATCAAGAAGTCACTTATTCCAGCATCTCCTAAGGGCCTACCATGTGCTAGGCATTGTGCTAAGCATGGCTGGGGGGACGGGGGGAGGGGAGGAGTCAGGAGAAGGAAGGGGGCCCAGGCAGAGCTGGAAGGGAAGGGGCTACAGAATCAAAGAATGGCAAAGAAAGGCTTACTAAAGGAAATGGGACTTAGGACAGAGCCCTCAAGGAGGGGGTTGTTGGGGAAGAGCAGGGAAAAAAAATTTCAGCAAAGCTGGAGTGAGGAACTGGAAGGGGGTCTGGGAAAGAGTGGAATAGGGGACATTCACTCACCCGAACCAAGTAGGAAACCCCGGGTCCCATGACTTTGTCGTTGGGATGCAGCCAGCCCCGCGTGGGCTTATTGACAAAGCTCCCGTGGCGGGTCCACTCCTCGCCCCCCAGCTGGCCCCCTTCCACCCGAGTCCTGCGCCCGCCGCCTCCACTCAGCTTGTTCATGTCCTGGAGGAGGTGCAGGGGGCCTGAGTCCAGCAAGGCTGCCCCTGCCATCCCCTCCCCATCCTCCACTGCCTTTCCTGGCTCCCCCCTCAGCCCCGGGCGCCCCCCAGCTGGGTTAGCCAGCTTCAGGTTGCTCATCCGGGGGAAGAAGGAGCACAGGGTGGTGGGACTATCGTCCCCAGGCAGAGGTGGCAGGATAGGCCCCAGAGATGAGGCTGATGGGGAAGGCAGCTCCTCCGGGGGGGTGGACCCTGAAGCCCCCTCCTCCAGCGATGACAGAGACTCATTCCGAAGTGGGTTGTATTTGGGCTTGGGGGGAAGGAGATCCATGGCTCGAGTGAAAGGGGTGCTGTTGCCCAGCCCGGCCCCCCTGCCAATCAGGGCAAGGGGGCCAGGCAGGGGGCATCCCCAGGCCCTTAGCCTGGTTGGACCTCTATAGCCCAAGGGTCTCAGGAGTCCTGGGGAGGGAGAGAGACAGGTGGCTTCAGCTCCCCCAGCTCAGCCCCAAATAGTTTCAGGGTCCATCCCTGCAAAGCGTAGAGCCTCTTCTCTGCCGATAAGAGAACAGGCTGGACTCAGAGCTGCCTAGCTCCTCCCCGGAGGCGGGGACCTGAGGGGAGAGACCAATCCTAAAGACAGTGCTGACTCACAGGCTCTGAGGGGCTGAGCCCCCACAGCCGCGCCAACCTAGAACCCTAGCTGGGGTAGGGAGAGCCACGTCCCTCTTTCCCCACCTCCAAACAAACAACCAGTAATCTGGGGAGAGTAAATTGGGGTTGAAGGGAAGGATGGAGGAAAGAGAAGGAAAGGAGAGCGATAAGAGATCTGGATCAGTCCAAACAGGACATGGGCAGGCCAGGGGAGCAGGAAGCCAAGGGGGAGGGGGAAGCAATGAGCGAGGAAACAGAGGCAGCTGCCTGTGGAAAAGGGAGGGGATACCTGAGTTCAGCACTTTCTTTCCTGTCCTCCAGCCCAGGCCAACCAACCCCCTCACTAACACACTGTGGAGTGGTGGCCCCAGGAAGTCTGAGCCATCAACATCATCTGCTACAACTGCAGATGCTGACTGGAAGTTGAGCTATGGGGAAGAGAAAGAGTTGACCCCAGTGGATGCAGGGAAGGGTAAAGCTGGTGAAGTAAGGAGGATGAAGTTCCACCTAGGTGGTATATAAAGAACCCACCAGGTGAGAGCTGGAGCAAGAGGACTGGCTGGCTGAGGCTGGCATGGCACCTAACACAGTGGCAGCCTACAGCCAGGCACTGTTCTACCCCCTTTCCACAGGCAGTCAGTTAGCCAAAGCAAGCTGTCAAAGCTGAGAACTGTGGGGTCTGGGCACAAAACTAAAGTCAATTACCCAGGTCCCCTGGTGACAGAGGAGTGACAAGGAATCCACCATAGAGAACAGTGTCCTTCATATCAAGGGAGGGGAGTCTGGCTAGGGAGGGGGGATGAGTGGGACAGTTCTCCAGGAGAATAAGGGACTACAATCCACAAAGGAATCAAGGAGGACAGAAGACAGATCCATGCTAATAAATATAGGAGAAAGGGGTGCCAGAAGATGAGCTCAGGCTAGACACAGAGAACAATTCCAAACCCATCCCTCAACCTACAGCTTCCTGTCACAGCTCTGCTTGAGGTGGCGGCGGTGGGGGTGTCAAAAACAGGATACACATATCCCCAGGCTCACCTCAGAATTACCCTGTCCTTTTATTTACTTCAAAGAATAAAAATCAAATAATCATAATTTTCTAATGATTAACAATACTAGCACTTAATATGAGTTATACAATGTGCTAAACTTTCTCACCTCCCCTTAATCTTCATCCCAGGAGAGCTTATCACTCCATCCCACCACTCCTGAGAAGGAATTCTATCACTGTTTCCTAAGGCCTCAGCTTTCAGGCATAAAGAGAATGGGGTGAGAATTCTGCTCTGGCCTCACACCACCAACACAGAAACACACACCAGAAAATCTTTAGAGAAGGTCAGTCTATAGGAGTCTACAGTATCCAGAAGTAGAAGTGATCAACAGGTATGGGCATTTGGAAGGAAAAAAAAAAAGTGAACTCCACATTTGTATAGGGAAAAAAGAGACTGCCTACTGGAAGTCCTAGTGATTGGGTATGAGAGAAGCAGTGCATGGCCCAGAAGGGAGGAGGCCAGAGGAGCAGGAGAGGAAAGTAGCAGGAAATGGCGAAGGCCTCAGGAATGTTTCCAGTAGGGAAAGCTAGGCAAGCAGGGCCAGGAAGAATGCCCCGACAGAACTCCTGGGTTACAAGTCACAGAAGTGGTGCGGACTGAGAATTCCTTAAATTAACATTTTTAAAAGTCAAGCCTTAAAAAAGTCCACTGCTCCCTACTCCTACTCCAAGCCACCATTCTGTCTGGTGATAGAAAACTTTGGCTCCTGTCACATCTACATGCCACACACTAACGAATTCATGCCCCTACCCGACTCCTGAGGTATAGGTACGATTTACAGCTGTTTCTTGGGTGGAGTTGGTAGTGGGAAGTTGGCTGGGAATGGAAGAGTAGGGTTGGGAATCAGTGAACAAGTGTCCAACACTCTAGTGCCAAACCCCAAGTCCAGCCCACTTCAAACCAGTCCATTCAAGAATGGGGAGGTAAGGGAAAGTTAAGGGGTGCCTCTCTTCTCTCAGTCCTCATGGCCAGGGATGGAATTTTGACTTCCCCTCCATTAGAACATGAGAACTCAGGGAAACTGAGCCCAATGTCCTTAAGAAAGGACGGCGAAACTTAAGGAGGTGGGGCTTCTGGGAATGAAGACAAAGACTCCGAGCTGACGACCTGGATCCCACAGGGAGAGTGCCCCAGGGGAGGCGTGGTCCCTAGGACGCAGGAATCGAAGACTTCTGGGAGAGGCTTTGAGGTAATCAGACAGGAATTAAAGAAAGGCAGGGCTTCCAGAGGGGCGGAGCTCCCATTGAGGCGTGGCTTCAACAAATTCGAACAGTTCTTTGAGGTTTAAGACTTAGCCTTTTGGGAGCTAGCCTTTTTGATTAGAAGTAAGCAAAGAGGCGGAGCTTCGGCGATTTGGAAGGATTTCTCATAGTAGGGTTTTCAGGGATTGGGTGTCTAGGAAAGCTGGGAGACTGGGTGGGAGCAGGGACAATAAACAGAAAATAAATCGGGGATGGTAGCCCTCCAGGAGCTAGGAGATGTTAAGGTGGGAGCTGAGAGGTGGGACTTCCGGGGAGGGGGTCTTAGGGGGCGGGACTTATCAATTTAGACCGGAAGTGGGGTCCCGGGAGAGGGGTTCCGGGGTGGAGGTATGGGTCAACTAGGGAGAAAAAACGACAAGACTCACCAGGGCTGCATGGAGTCTCCACACCGCTCCGCGGGTCTCTTTGGTTCCAGATTACGCCACTGCCGGTTTAGGTCGCCCGCTCCAACTTTCTCCCCGGACCCAGTCTCCCTGGAGAAACTTTATTGCACTCACTTCCGGCCTCACTAACCCCTGACCCTCTACCTCACCGTCGCCTCCTTCACCCATCCTATTTCCCAAAACCAACCAATAGCAGCGCGGGAGCGCGCAGAGAAGTTGTGATAGCCAATTGGAGCCCTATTTTTAACCCAAACTCGTTCTTGAGAAACGTGAGACCTACCCTCCAATAAGGACACTAGATCAAGTAAACCTTAGCCAATAGGAGACTTGAAGGTGGAGCTGTCCCGCCTCGAACTAAAGGAACCAATAGGAAATGCGGGCGGTGTGTTTGAAAGCGAGGCCAAAGTGGGTGGGAGCGCGTGCTGCTGGGAGTTGTTTGGAGGTTGGCGGCGAGAGCCTGAAGTCTCTCAGAGCGATCATGTCGCACAAACAAATTTACTATTCGGACAAATACGACGACGAGGAATTCGAGTACCGGTTAGTGCCGGCGCGGGGGCCATAACGAGGTTGCGATCCTTGACCAGCGAGGGCACGAGGACTTAGTAATGAGGAGTTAGGCGAACGAATCGGCGCATGCGCGAGAGATTAACGGGATGGTTTTGAGATTAGGTGAGGCGTAAAGGGCATGCGCGAAGGGTGGACGCGCTCGTGAAAGAGACCATAAATTGATTGAGAATTTGGACTAGTCTGTTAAGCGTTTGTAGGTGTGGTTAGAGTTCTGACCGCCTTCGCCCTTGCAAGTTTCTGAATCCTTATCAGAACTTGCTTTCTTGCGACTACAGCTATAGCGGTAATATCATAGGACCCTAAAGCTGGTAGAAAATGGCAAAGGCGAACGGAGTTGCAATTTCCTTATGTCCTCAATGCGAGGGGAGTGCTGACGGCACGGCTGTCACTTATGGGGAGCTACTAGGAACAGTAGTGGAATCAAACTGGCCAGGAATACTCAAAAAAAGACTTTAGACCAAGATAGATCTAATGGTGGCGGTGGTTGTGTGCCGTGGAGTCGGTTCCGACTCATAGCGACCCAGCAGCATAGGATTTCTGGGGCTATAAATCTTTACGGGAGCAGAAAGCCTTCTCTTTCTCCAAGCAGCGACTGGTAGGTTTGAACTGCTGACCTTGCGGTTGCATTCCAAGGTAGCGTAACCCACCTTTAGCTAGAGCCACTAGATGGCTTCAAATAATTTGGAGGGCATCTATCCATGATTATGGAGTGCATCTATTCATGATTATGTAGTGCTTATAGGTTTCAGGTGTTCTGCCAAGGGGCAAGAAAAAGACATAGTCTCTGTCTGTAGAAGATAGTTAACTAACAAGCTCCAGAAAGATAATAAATACAAATCATAGCGTTGTTACACAGTGTGGTGGGAGCACATAAGACCTGCCAAGAAAGAAGATCTGGGAAGGCTTCCTAGAGGAAACAGCTGCCTGAGATGAGACTCAAAGGAAGAAGTAGGAAGGAGAAAACACCTCTAACTGAAATTATTTGTAAGATACTGGCTAACAACAACAAAAAAGTGATCCATGAACTGGATGCAAAGTTAGCATTGGATCATTCTAAATCCATACTTCTAGATTAGAAAATGAGGGAAGAAAAAGGATTCGCCAGCTGTTGGCAGTCTACTGTTGTTAAGTGTCATTGGGTCTATTCATAGTGGCTCTGCACAGCGTTTCAGAGAAGCCGCTGGTGGGTTTGAACCGCTGGCCTTGTGGTTCCCAGTATTTAAGATAGCTTTCTAGTTTGCATCTTGTCTCTGTAATTGGAGAACACAGCATGGAAACTTTTTCTTGTGTCTCTACATGCAACTTAGTGAAAGGTACTGGGTACTCGAAGAACTTTGTTAATAGATAAAAAGACATCTTTATGCTAGGTCCTTCCTGGACTCAATTAACTTTCTTTTCCTCAGCTGTTTTCCTCTA